CAGGTGCCTGTTGTCCCAGCTACTTGGAAGGCTGAGCCAAGAGAATCACCTAAGCCCAAGAGTTTGAGGTTGCTATGAGCTGTGACACCACAGCACTCTATCAAGGGCAACATAGTGAGATTCTGACTCAAAAAAAAAAAAAAAGAAAAGAAAAGTATAAATACAGCCAGAAAAAAAAAAAAAACATTTTATAAGCAGATGAACAACGAATGACAGCAGACCTGTCATTGAAAGCAGTATAAGCCAAAAGCCTACAAAACAACATCTTTAAAGTACTGAAAGAAAAAAACGTCAACCAAGTATTCTCTAGCCTATAAAAATATCTTTCAAAGTCAAAGGCCATAGAAAAATTATATAGACATACAAAAGCTGAAAGAATTTATCACCAGGACGGTGCCTGTGGCTCAAAGGAGTAGGGCGCCGGCCCCATATGCCAGAGGTGGTAGGTTCAAACCTAGCCCCAGCCAAAAAATTTTAAAAAAGAAAAGTAGTTAAACCAAACATTGTGGTTCATGCCCGTAATCTCAGCACTTTGGGAGGCCAAAGTGGGAGGACTGCTTAAGGCTAGGAATTCGAGACCATCTTGAGCAATGTAACAAGAACTGTCTCTACAAAAACACAAAAATTAACTGGGTGTGGTGGTGCACATCTGTAGTCCCAGCCTGTCGGGAGGCTAAGGCAGGAGGATCACTTGAGCTCAGGAGTTTGAGGTTGCAGTCAGCTATATGATAATGTCACTGTACTCTAGCCCAGGCAATAAAGGGAGACCCTGTCTCAAAACAAATAAACAAACACACAATAAATGGTAATTGGCTGTTGTAACTGTTCTGTATATTGACTACATCAGTGTCAATATAGTGGTTGTGAAGTTACTATTGGGGAGATCTGGGGTTAAGATTATCTGGGTATCTAGGAGCTCTGTATATTGCTTCTTCCAACTGTCTATGAATCTGCCTTGTCTCAAAATAAAAAGTTTAATAAAAAATAATTGATTAGTTAAAGTAAAAATTTAATGATAATGATGACTCAACATGTACATGTATATTCATAGAAACGTTATATATAATAGCCAAAAATGAGGGGAAACCCAAATGTCTATCAACTGACAGATGGATAAATAGAATGTGCCATAGCCATACTATGGAATATCACTCAGCAATAAAAAGAAATGAAGCATGTATACGTGCCTGAACATGAGGGAAACTTGAAAATACTGTGCTGAAGGCCAGGCCTGGTGGATTACATCTATAATCCAAGCACTCTGGGAGGCCAAGGCAGGTGGATCTCCTGAGCTCAGGAATTTAAGACTAGCTAGAGCAAGGGCCAGACCCCATCTCTACTAAAAATAGAAAAAAAAAAAAATTATCTGGGCTTCATGGTGGGCACGGAAGTCTCAGGTACTCAGAGGCTGACTCAAGAGGATCACTTGGGCCCAAGAGTTTGAGGTTGTTGTGAGCTATGACACCACAGCACTCCACCCAGGGTCACAGAGTAAGACTCTGTCAAGGAAAGGAAAGGAGGGGAGTGGAGAGGGGAGGGGATGGGAGGGGAGGAGAGGGAGAAGGAAGGAAAGAAGGAAGGAAAAGAAAGAAAGAAATAAACGAAATAAATGAAAGAAAAAAAAGGCGGGGTGGCTCAAGCCTATAATCCTAGCACTTCTGTGAGGCCTAGGCAAGCCTGGGCAAGAGTGAGACCCCATCTCTAAAAATAGCCAGATGTTGTAGTGGGTACCTATAATCCCAGCTAGTTGGGAAGCTGAGGCAAGAGAATTGTTTGAACCCAGGAGTTTGAGGTTGCTGTGAGCTATGATGGTACAGCACTCTACGGGGACAACAAAGCAAGACTGTCTCAAAAAATAAAGAAAAAAGGAAAGAAAGCCATCTGTTGGCTCGGCGCCTGTGGCTCAAGCGGCTAAGGTGCCAGCCACATACACCTAAGGTGGCGGGTTCGAATCCGCAGCCCGGGCCCGCCAAACAACAATGATGGCTGCAACCAAAAAATGCCCAGGCGTTGTGGCGGGCGCCTGTGGTCCCAGCTACTTGGGAGGCTGAGACAGGAGACTCGCTTGAGCCCAGGAGTTGGAGGTTGCTGTGAGCTGTGATGCCATGGCACTCTACCCAGGGGGACAGCTTGAGGCTCTGTCAAGCAAAAAAAAAGAAAGCCATCTGTTTTAGGACAGTTTATACGATGAAGTGTCTAGAATCGGCAAATCCTGAGACACGGAAAGTAGATGAGTAACTGCCAGGGGCTGAGGGGTTGAGGGTAAATGGCAGTGATTTCTAATGAGTATGAGGTTTCTTTTAGGGTGACGAAAACATCGTAAAGTGTTGTGGTTGATAGTTGCCCAATTCTGGGACTATACTGAAAACTGCTGAGTTGTGCACTTTAAATGGGTGGATTGTATGGTATGTGAGTGATTTCACAGTAAAGCTGTCATAGTAATAATAGCAGCAACAATGATGCAGAAAATATATTGTGGGTTTGACACACTTAGAAGTAAACATTACAGAGACCAGAGAGGGGACAGGGAAGTATCTTCTTGTGACATCCTTAGACTGCAGAAGCCCTCAAATGTAACTTGATGGCAATTTGCATGTGTACTATAAACCCTAAAGCAACCACTAAAAATGAAAGTAAAGTAGACCTAATAAGATAATGTAAAGGAGATAAAATGGAATCACAAAAAGTACTCAATCCGAAGAAAGGTGGGAAGAGAGGCAGAGGGAACAAAGTCCCCAGGAGGGGAAGTGACACAGGACGTGAAGGAGCAGATGGTGTAGGAGGAAGTGAGTCTGAGCTGGGACAGGGAGGTGACCTGGGGGGAAGCAGGCCAGGCCTGTGAGCCATGGATGGTAGGGCCACAGGGTCCCTTTTTTTTTTTTGAGACAGAGTCTCACTATATCGCCCTCGGCAGAGTGCCAGGTCGTCACAGTTCACAGCAATCTCAAACTCTTGGGCTTAAGAGATTCTCTTGGATCAGCCTCCTGAGTAGCTGGGACTACAGGTGCTCTCCATGACACCTGCCTAGTTTTTGGTTACAGTTGTTTAGTTGTTTTGGTCATTGTTGCTTAGCAGACCCGGGCCAGGCTTGAACCTGCCAGCTTGGGTGTGTGTGGCTGGCGCCCTACCCACTGAGCTACGGGTGCCAAGCCAGGGGCCCCTTTTTAATGTCCATTCCAAGGCTGGGGAGGCCAAGGGGAGAGAGGTCCAGGAGGAGAAGGCTGCAGAGACAGACCCACTATAGAATGTTCTGTGGCTTGGACCAGGACAAATGAAGACACAAAGAAAATGGATGATTTGAGATTTTTGTTCAAGGGAGGATTAACTGGGCATGATGAGGGACAGGTGGGAGGGAAAGTCCATGGTCCCAAATGGTTTTACTTAAGGGCCTTTGCATTGAATCCCTGAATGGCAAGAGGATCCCCTGGGCAGGCTGGGCCATCAAGAATCTGATTCAGGTAAGAGAAGTTTGGGGTGTAGCCCCCACCACACTTCTAAGTCAAGGCCCCTGAGTGCAGAGCTTAGGGGAGAGATACCTGCACTGTAGCAGACACACTGGGACATATAAAGAGATTGCAGGCTTAGCGCCTGTAGCTCCATGGTTAGAGTGCCGGCCACATGCACCAGACATTAGGCTGGTGGGTTCGAACCCGGCCCAGCCTGCTAAACATCAATGACAACCACAACAAAAAAATAGCTGGGCATTATAGCAGGCACCTGTCATCCCAGCTACTTGGGAGACTGAGGCAAGAGAATCTCTTAAGCCCAAGAGTTTGAGGTTGCTGTGAGCTATGATGCCACGACACTCTACCGAGGGTAACATACTGAAACTCAAAAAAAAAAAAGAGATTGCAGAGGGTATTGAAGTCTAGGAGAATGGAGATTACTGGAAGAAAGGGCAGAGACAGGAGGAGGGCTGAGTGGAGGTAAGGAGCTGGGGTGGAGCAGTTTAGCTTGGGGAGAGGGGATACCTGAGAGAGAGTAGAGATAGCAGAGCCTGAGGGCTGTGAGGAGAAGCTATTTCCAGAGGGAGGGCAGTCGGCTGTGTTTGTGCCATAAGTAGGTGGGAAGGGACTGCACGACAGTCACCTCAGCAGGTGCACTTCTATGTGGGACCAGAATAGATGTAGCTGGGGGCAAGAAGGAACCAAGGGGCACCCACAGAAAGCTTGCAAACAGGAGGCAGAATTCTGGGGAGCAAGTGTTTTGTAGACAACTGCCCAGTTTTGCAGTGAGGGGGTAGAGAGGTAGAGAGAGCTCCTGGGCAGTTTTGGAGATGGATGCAAGGGAACACACCAGTAGCCATCAAGAATGTGGGCAGGGGCTCGGCGCCTGTGGCTCAATCGGCTAAGGCACCAGCCACATACACCTAAGGTGGCAGGTTCGAATCCAGCCCAGAGGCGCGCCAAACAACAATGACAGCTGCAACCAAAAAATAGCTGGGCGTTGTGGCGGGCACCTGTGGTCCCAGCTACTTGGGAGGCTGAGGCAGGAGACTCGCTTGAGCCCAGGAGTTGGAGGTTGCTGTGAGCTGTAATGCCACAGCACTCTACCCAGGGGGACAGCTTGAGGCTCTGTCTCAAAAAAAAAAAAAAAATGTGGGCAGGGAGGGAGAGTGTACAGGACAGACTGGGGCAGGCCTGCAAAGACTCCTTCTCTCCCAGTCCCTGAAGTCCGAGTGCTGCTTCCTCTGGGAAGTCTTCCCTGAGTTTGCAGGCTGGTGTCTCTCCCACTCAAGCCCCATACTTCCCAAGGGGACCCACTGCTGTCTCCACCAGTCTGTGGTCATTTGCTCCCTTACAGTTCCTTGAGAAATAGGCCCTGAGACTTTTGTCTCTTGTCTGCCAAGCACTGTGTGCAGTCAGTAAACAGAGGCATGGGCGGGCAAATGTGCAGATGGACAGACCCCTACAAGTCACTCATCCCAGAGCCCAGACCTCTGACCCAGGTGCCATGTCTCACAGACCTCACACCCCCATTTCTCCCTGACCGCGGCCCACCTTGGGATCCAAGTCGAAGAAGCTGTAGTACTTGAAGCGCAGCCAGAGCACATCCCCGGCCCTGACGCCCTGCTGCATGAGGCACCGGGAGGAGTCCAGCCACCTGGGCCACAGCAGAGGTGGGAGTCAGGGCTCTGCTGTGGACAGGGGGCTAGGGTAGGGGGCTGCACAGGGGTGGGGTAACACATGCATGGGTAAGGCCTGGAGGCAGGTAGTGTGGATTTCGGGGAATGCAAGGACACAGGGTGGGGTGGGCCCTGGGTGTGAAGCCCAGATGCAGGGTTGCCGCACACCTGCTGTGGAGCTGGGTCTTGTCCACCAGGGAGCTGGGCCGGGGCAAGTGCTGGAGCAGGAGGGGGTCGGGCGGCGGCTGGGGCCGGCTCAGCATGTGGTAGCAGGCCTCAGTCTGTGCACTGTCTGAGAAGTGAGCTGGCATCCCCCGGAACAGCATAGGTGCCACGCCTGGAGTGCAGGGTGGGAGTCACCAGGCCCATCCCCAGGCCTGGGCCTAACTGGCCCAGCCCTGCCCAGGCCCCACCTGCCCCAGCCTGTGCTCACCCCCAGCCAGGACCACCTGGGTCAAGTCATACACCTCTTCCTCCTGCTCTTTCTCCTTCTTCTTCTTCTTCTTCTCCGGAGCCCGGAGTAGGGACAGCTCCTCAGGATGCCGGATGCCTGAGAAGAGCAGGGGTCTCAGCAAGGCTGGGGGTCAAGGTCCTGCCTGGGGTCTCCCCCATCCCAGAGGGTGGTAACAAGACACCAAGGACCATGTGGCAATGGCCAGGCCTGGGTAGGGCGGGGACCTGCCCCCTTGCAGCAGCCTTTTGGCCAGTGGAGGGGACCAGCCAGGCAACTCACTGAGGAGGCGGCAGATGGCGGCCACAGCCTGGAAGAGGGGCTGGGAGAAGCTGGCCCGGAGGCGCAGGGCACGGCGATTGGGCAGCCGCAGGATCACAGGCCGGTGCTGGGGTCCAAAGAAGAGTCGGGCATCAGCCAGGATGCCATACTTGTCCAGCGTCCAGTGGGTCTGCAGCAGCCATTGCCTTTTCTGTTCCCACCAGATGGCATGGTCTGACCAGTCCTGCTTCCGATCTGTGGGGCAGACGGTGCACATCGGCCATGGAGAGTCCTGCCCAGCCTTCCTCCTGCTGCCCCCAACCCTGACCACAAGCCCAGGGTCAGGAACCTGTGCTGGCCGCTCCCTCCCCTGCCCAAGTCCCCAAGGTGACCGCAGAATGGCTTTTCTGGGCTGGACATCACTCATCCTTCTGGGCTCAGCAGCTACATCACTTCTCAGGGAAGTCCCCCAACCCAGAACCTGGGTGTCCCAATCTCAGTGCCCCACCTCCTGCTCTCTAGCAGTTAGTGCCTCCTCTGTCCTTCTGAGTTTTTAGTTTAATGGCCTCATTCTTGCACTCCCAGAAGCTCCAGGAGGCAGAGACCATGTCTGTCTTTCTATTGTATGTCCTCAGGGACTGGCACTGTGCCTGACACGCAGCAGTAGGTACTCTCTCAATATTTGTTTATCACTAGCTGTGTGATCTTAAGCAAGGCACTTACCCTCTCTGGGCCTCAGTTTTCCTTTTCTCAGTGTAGGATGTAATAACTATTTTGCCCCCGTGGACACAGAACACTGTCTGCTACAAGGTAGTGCAGAGCATTTGTGGCTCTGCTCACCCATAATCCATGAGCAAGCAGTTAGAAACATATGTTCCTCATCAGCCAGCTAGGAATTGGGGACACAGAAGAGGAAGACACAAAGGCTCCTCCTGGGCTCTCTTCAGCAGCATGCACTGGTGGGAGATGAGCACTACAAAGGGTGACTGATGGCCCTGCAGGTGCCTGGCCTCAGAGTGTACAAAGCCCTTATTTTATTTTTTGAGACAGAGTCAAGCTGTTGCCCTGGGTAGAGTGCCGTGGCATCTCAGCTCATAGCAACCTCCAACTCTTCGGCTTAAGTGATCCTCTTGCCTCAGTTTTTTTCCTATTTTTTTTTTTAGTAGAGATGTGGTCTCACTTTTTGCTCAGGCTTATCTTGAACTCGTGAACCAAAGCTATCTACTTGCCTTGGCCTCCCAGAAGGCTAGGATTACAGACGTGAGCCACCTCACCCGGCCTTACAAAGCCCTTATTACTTGAGTCTTCCCAGCCTTTCTGGAGAAGTGTCTGATTCCTGTTCCCAACTCCCACTCGTGTCCCCCTAGTGTCACCAGTGCCCCCAAAGCCTCCCCCGCCTTCCTTCTCTTCTGACCTCCCCTCTTGGTACCCTCACTCTGTCCTTGGCTCTGTGGTGCCCACTTCCCCTTCGTCTCTAGACTCTTTGCTCTTTTTCGTTTGTCCTCCTTGACCCCCTTTCCTGACCTGCCCCTCACCTGTCCTTTCTGAGGTTTGGCATGGGACCCTCTTCTCTCTCCTTGGCCATGCCCTCTCCGTGGGGTCTCCCTGTTCTGCAGCTTCAGTTACTGTCTTCTGCCAACCCCCACATGTGGCCCTCTGATCCAGGCCAGCAACCCACATGCCTCTGGCTGAGGCATGTCCACTGGCTTCTGCCTTCCAGAAACTTCTGCTCACCCAGCCATGTGCTGTGCCCAGCACAGGGACCAAAAATTTGGTGATGCCTAATCCCAGCTTTGAGGTGCTCAGCTTAAACTGGCTTTGCACAGAGCCACCACCTTGCCCCTCTCCAGCTCCTCCATGTCACAGGGCTGGGTGACAAGGACTCTCCACCACGAGCCTGAACATCATCATCCCTTTCTCTTTAGCCTCTGCCTCCAAGACCTACCCTCCTTCCCATCCTCTCTGCCTGACCTTTTTTTTTTTTTTTTTTTGACAGAGCCTCAAGCTGTCCCCCTGGGTAGAGTTCTGTGGCATCACAGCTCACAGCAATCTCCAACTCCTGGGCTCAAGCAAGCAAGTCTCCTGCATCAGCCTCCCAAGTAGCTGGGACCACAGGTGCCCATCACAATGCCCGGCTATTTTTGGTTGTAGCCGTCATTGTTGTTTGGCGGGCCCCGGCTGGATTCGAACCCGCCACCTTAGGTGTACATGGCTGGCACCTTAGCCACTTGAACCACAGGGGCCAAGCCCTCCCTGCCGGACCTTAGGACCCCCACCATCTCTCCAGGAGGCCTCTACAGCCTCTGCAGGGTCTTCTCCCTGCACCTTCCCCACATGGGAGCCTCAGCATGACAGCCTCCTGCCAAAGACCCTTTGGTGGCTACTCTCCACCCACAAAGGTGACATCTAAACCCCTTCACGGGTGTGTGGAGCTGGCCAGGGGGCCACCAAGCTTCATTTTTTGCTACCCTCCAGGCATCCCCCCAGCCAAGAGGCCCTAGTTTACAGTACCCCAATGCCCCACTCTCCTGTGGCCACCTCTCAGGACTCATGTTAAATGTCTTCTAGGAAATCTCCCAGTCCTGGGCTGGAGGCAGCCCCATCCTTGGCTCTAGACCCCAGAACGGCTCTTCTGGGCAGCTTGCCCCCCAAGGCTGGCAAGGGGCCGGCTTAACTAAGCGCCTAGATGTCTGACTCCCTTAGGAGTAGAAGCGGGAGGGGAGGCCAAGGAACCAAAGGGACTTGCTGTGGATGGAGGCGGAGGGAATCTCTTGCTGTGGGGGCCCAGCAGGAGCTGGAGCAGCAGGTTTGCCTGTCTGACTCCACGTCACAGCCTCTTGCATCCTCCACATGCATGTCCGGGGGCCCTCATGTCTTCATCCCCCTCTCAGGCTCAGCCTGATACCCAGTCTCCTGAGGGTCCCCCCCCCCATTCCCCACTTCTGCTTTCACAGCCTCTTTGGCCTCTGGAAGTTTCCTTCACTGCCTCAGCCTGGTGGCTGGGCCCCATCTTGTCCACAGACTGGCCTTCCCCCAGGGCTGCACGTGGAGGGTTGGCTGGGTCTGAGGAAGCCTCCCCACCCCACCCCAGGCAGCCTAGACTCAGGCTGGGTTTTTATGGGCTTGCCTTCTGGCTCTGGCTATCAGAGTCTTCCTGCTGCACTCCCAGGAAGGGGCAGTCCACACCCTGGCAGGGGAGGATGATGAGAAGCCCCCATGTCACTGGCCCTGCAACTCCCCATGACTGATACCACAGGCTGCCCTGCTGTAACTTCCTGTGGGGGCAGGGCCTTCCACCCAGGCTGGGCCTGTCACCAGCCTGCCTGAGAGCTTCCTCTGGAGGGAGAAGGTCACCAAAAGCCCCTGAACACCCCTCAGACGTCAGGAACATGACTTCTGCCTTGCTCAGCCCAGCCAAGGCCACCCCTTCTGCCCCTAAAAGGGGATGAACAGGGGACTGTGGCCCCGTCTCATCCTCAGGGACTCAGCAGAATCAGCTGGAGTGGGAGGAAGGGAGGGAAGATGGTGGGTGGGAGGGGAAGTTGGGGAAATGTCTTTTTTGGAACCAAATGATTAATCTGGTGCCTTAGTCACTGTGACACCATTATCAAGAGCTGAGCAGAAGGGATGGCCCGGAAGTGCCTAGAGTTTGGCAGTTGGGGGCAGTGGGGAACTCACTGATGTCTTCCACAATCTTCAGGAGCACCCCACCAATGTGTGACTCCCCAGTGACCCGGAGGGTAACCGACTCGGCCTCAGGATCCTCCTCTCCTACAAACACACGCAGCTCCCAGGATGAGTCAATGTAGTCTCCAGAGGCCGTCTTCATCCCCGCCATGGCTGTGGCTGCTTCTACTGTGAGGGTGGAAGGAGGCAAGGTGGCAAGGTGCTGGGGTCTGGGGGCTTCCTGTTTGAGCAGAGGGAGCCAGTGCCCTGCACAGCTGGGAGTGCAGGGAGCAAGCCCACAGGTCAGAATGGCTGTGGCACCAGCACGTCATGGGACACTGAGTTGTCTCAGGCCAACCTCAGGCCCTCTTGCCATCACGGGGTTGAGCTTAAAGTACACTCAGAGACCACGTTGTCAAATCTACACCCATCCTATAGACAGGAGACTGAGGCCCAGAGACAAGGTGCTCTCTCAAGATCACCTTGTTTGTTGCTAGAGCTGGCACAACCCCAGGGCAGCTTTCCCAGCCCACAGCTCATCTCCAGACCTACATGGGCAGCTACCCACCCTGGCAATGGCTATGAACCCAGGGCAGAAAGTAGTTCCAACCCTGGTTCATGGCTCAGACCAAACATCCCAAATCAGCCAAAGTCTCTCTGGGGTGGGTTAAAGTTCAGATTGCCATATGGAGAGGCATTGGGCAGAGGCTGCAGGAGGGTAGTGGGGGAGGGTTCCTGTGTCTTCAGCCGCTGGCCACGGCTTACCTGGACAGCAAAGGGTCAGAGTCGGGCTACCTGCAGCGCTGGGTGCTTCCAGCCCTCTGCTTTCTCTTTGGAGCTTCCTTCAGAGGGCAGCCTAGGCCTCGCCTTATCATGAGCAGGGAGGGCTTGGCCCCTCCCTAGGGCGGGCTGGTGTTGGGTGCAGGAAGCTCACTACCAGCCCACAGAGTGTTCCAGTGGGGCCTCTGCCTTTGTCACCACAGAGCACAGGAAGCGAAGGACAGTGGGGCTCATGGACCCAAGACCACAAAAACAGTATCCCCTTTTTTGGGGGAAGCTCAGTTCAAACTAGAGAAGCCCCCAATTAAGAGTTCAGGACTGGTTCTGCCTATGTAGAAAACATCTCCCATTGCTAGCCTTTCATGAGGTGGGGACTTGGGGTTACAGAACATCACTGGGGTGCCAGAGGGAGAACAAGGGAGTTGCAGGACTGAATTCAGACTATTTAAGAACCAGCTCAGGCTGTCCCTCATTAACCAAAGATCTGAGGGCTCCTCCAAAAGAAACAAGTCCCTCTTAGGTCAACCTTAGAGCTGCCCAGGTGACCAAGTGAATAGACTTGGCTCTGATCATTCACGACTTTCCTGCCTCCACCCCCAGGGCTCATGGCTTCGAGCATGGCACCTCCACTAGCATTGTGCTTCCTCCCAAGAGCCAAAGCTCACTCCTGTCCAGTTTCTGCTCAGAGGATTTCTGGTGGCCAACATCTTCCCGCCCACCTCCCACACACAGGAACCACTCTCCAGGAGCACACACGGGGTGCTGGGGGTAGCCCAACCCCTTTGGATGGGCAACCCTCTGCCACGCAGATGAGGGAGGGCCTGCGGGGGTTTCTCAAGAGAAAAGTTGAAGGCTGCTGAAGCTCAGAGGCAGAGAAAGCCAGCCGGCCACACTCTCAGGGCCATCCCAGCCAGGAAGCAGCGCTCTTGGAGCAAATGAGGAAGTTTCACTCCTACCCAGAAGCCTCCTCAGTGCAGGAAGTTTTAGGTTAAGTTTGTTGTAACCATGGAAAAATGTAATTATTATTTATCCTTGTTTATGAAACAAGGTCTGGCTCTGTCACCAAGGCTAGAGTGCAGTGGCATCACCATAGCTCACTGAATAATCTCAAACTCCTGGGCTCAAGCCATCTTCCTGCCTCAGCCTCTTGAGCAGCTAGGACCAGAAGTGTGCACTACCACACCCAGCTAAGTTTTCCATTTTTTGTAGAGATGCTGTCTAGATTGATCTGGGTTCAAGTGATCTTCCTGCCTAGGCCTCCCCAAGTGCTAGGATTACAGGTCTGAACTGC